GCCGCAGGAGAAAGGCCGCTGCGCCCACCCCCTCCCTCCCACTCTCCAGAGCTCCTCTCCCTGTCTGGGACCCTCAGGCTTCCTCGCCCCTGTGCCCTTCAAGAACCAGCCGGGCCCTCTCCAGGAAGCTGCCCCCAACTCCCTCCCCATGAGGTAGGTGTCCTTTGTGTTCCCAGCCCCCTGTGCATAGCTGTCGAACTTGTTCCCTGATTCTCCTTCCCCGCAAAACCGCAGCATCCTCGCGGGTAAGGATTCCTCTTCCATCTCCCTTTCCAGGGCGTCTGCCACTGTGCCAGGCACTGAAGAAGCGGACAAACCGCTGGGCCCATGTTCGTCGCCCAACCAGCCCGCGTCGCCCTGTCCACTCTCCGGCCGCCCAGGACTCAGGTAAGACCCGCGGAGCCCAAACGCGGGCAGTATTCGATCGTGGGTGAAGTCCAGCTGAGCCAAAACCCGAGTTCCGTAAAAATCCAGGCAAGAGACTTGGACAGACTCTTCTGTCGCCCTTCTTTGTACATTACGGACGTGCTTCTGGGGGTCCCAGCCCCTAGCAGTGGACAGAGTGAGGCGAGAGGGCGTCCGCGGGACGCAGGGCAGCTGTGGAGCAGGAGCTCTCCACCGGTGACTTTGCAAACTCATTTAATCTAAGAGAGAAATACAACTGACCGCTGTCGGTACGCTCCCTCGGGCATATTTGATCCTGGGGTAACAAGTCTCAGGTTGTCTTAGTTGCTCCCTCGAACCGATGAACAGGAATCAGAATTCTAGACGCACACACGCCCATAACAAGCCCCATTTCCCCGCTGAGCCGAGGAGCCGGGCCGAGGGCCCAGCAGCAATTGAATGTTGCTCTTGCCGGGCTGCAAGCTTGGGACTCTGCCCCCGGGGGCTTCAGCTTTCGAGGGACAGGGCTCGGCCGGCGTCACCACACTGCCCTGGCTTTGGGGTGTGTTTCTGGGTGGAGGCCGTCAGGCCCAGGAGCCTGTTCCAAACAGCCAGGTGTGTGTCTTGTGAGAGTCTGACTTACCTGTTTTCTAGAACAGCTAAGGTTAAGCAAATAGTACGTAAGTGTAAAAGCAGCGGCCAAGCTAAGAGCAAAGTGTAACTGAAACACGGGTGGGTGGATGTCCTCGTGACTTCCTCCCTTGGGCGTTCAGTCCCTCTGCCTGTGTTCAGCTGTAAAGAAGGCGCCTTGGACCCGCCGCCCCGCACACTGCGTCGCACCCGGACCCGCAAACTTCCTCCTAGGAGACTGCCTTCCTCCCCAGCCTGCCTTACGCTGGCTGGTTCTGCGTGAGGGTGGAAAATCCCAGCAACACCCCTAAGGCTCACTCTACAGGGCAGAGGCGGCCCGGGAGCCAGGCCTGCGTCCAAATGTGAGCTGAGCTCATCCCACTTGCTAAGTGCTGCTGCGTAGGAGGTATATGGCCGGAGGTCTGTGGTCCCTCCTGGGACACTTTGCATTCGGCTGCACTTCTAAAACGACCCTGGGCGACAGGTGCCCTTGGAAAGAAACCACTGGACACCTGCTTTTATGTCTTTTTTTGTCCTGTTTCACTGTCTTCCTACATTTCATTGCACCGGCTCTCTCTGCATCCTTATGCATTGCAGGCTAAGCTCCTGGATGGGGCTGCTTGGAGAGAATAAACTTCCCCATTGGTAGATAAAAGGCCAGAACAGAGGGAAAGTGGGTCCTGGAGGAAGGCCTTCTGAGGGGGAAGGCCTTCTGAGGGGGAAGGACTGTCACGGGCAGGTGAGGCATTAGGAGAGGAGGGGGTATCGATGGCAGGGTCACTCAGAGCAGGACTTGGACGTCAGCCATGTTCCAGTTCAATCCCAGGAACTGAACCCTGAAAGCCGGGAAATCACTCAACCTCTTCTCATGCCTCAGCTTTCTTATCTGTGAAATGGGGGTAACATTACATTGTGGCAAAGTGGCTGGATAGTCCCCAAAGTCATCTCCTCGAGCGCAGAACAGGTTTATATTTCCTAGGTTTCTTTGCAGGTAAATATGGCCAGAGCTGAACCCTAAAAAAAAAAAACTCAGCCGCTTATCTACACTCTTCCCCTCAGTTTCTAGCCAGATGTGGAAGATCCGATGATGGGCTTTGAAAGGCTATAGAACGGTGGGGCCACCACGTGGCAAAAGCCCAGGTTGTTGTCTCCTAATAAAATCACACTGGACAAAACCACAAAAGAGCAAGAGATAAACCTTTCTGTTATGTTTAAGTCACTGAAATTTTAGGATTGTTTATTATAGCAATTAGCCTCCCTTATTAACTTCTTTAACTCTAATGTAGGTTGAGTAGGGCGTTAGAATACACCAGCTCCTGGAACAATGCGCCCATTTCAGAGGTTTAGCAAAGTAAAGGTCTCTTTCTGGCTCACGGCCCCAACTAAGGTCAGCGATGGGAACAGCTGCGCTCCGTCCAGGGCTCTAAATGTATTGGCTCCCACAGAATGCAGTTCAGGGGTTGGACTGCCAGGCACCATAGATGTTTTTAAATATATTTTTATTAGAGGGGTGGGACAGGGTGGAATGGGTCACTGGGGAGAAAAGGGGGCATCTGTAATATTTTGGGGGGGAAATTTTTTTTATTTAAAAATTTTAAATGTATATGTGTGTGTGTATATATACACACATATTTCATTGATTTTAGAGAGAGAAAGGGAAAGTGATAGATTTCTGAAACATCTCTGTGAGAAACATTGATCGGCCGCGGACGCCCCCTACTGGGGATCGAGCCCACAACCAGGGCATGTGCCCTGAGGGGGAATCCAGCCAGTGCCCTCTTAGTTTGTGGGTCGAAGCTCAACCACTGAGCCACACCCGGCTGGGCACCAAGATTTTGTCACTTTTTCTCCTGGCGCCTGGAATTGCTGCATTTCCTGGCCTCTTTGAAGTTAGCTGTTCAATGACTTGCTTTGGCCAAGGAAAATGGCACAAGTCCTTTCCAGGAGGAAGCGTTTGAGAAGCGCCGCCCGCTTCCCCGTGTGGACCGGTGGCTTTGGAGGACAGCACCCTGGACTGCTGAAGCCTACGCGGCAGGCAGGTTCCCGGAGCCCTGTCTGAATCTCCAGCGCACCACACTGTGTAAGCGGGAGATAAAATAATGCCTCTGAGGATATGGTTTTTTACTGAGCTCTTACTGTGGACTAGGCACTGTGCTAAGTGAGCACTTTGTGTGCGAACCGCATAGCGGTGTTTGGCCCTGACAGGCTCTTGATTAGTGTTGTCATTGGTATTTCATTTTGCCTTAGAAGTGTATGCATTTGCTCAAATGGGTCCTGTGCTCTCGACTGTAAGGTCCAGAATGGATGTCACAAGGCTGGTATCTTATTTTTTTTCTCAAAAACACCTGAAGGTTTTCAGTTTGTAGACAGCTGAATGGAAATGCAGATTCCAGGACCAGAGAGAGCATGGTGTAGAGGAAACAGCACTCAAACCAGCAGCTGAGATCAGCTTAGTTCAACACACATTTATTGAGCACCTTCTGTATGTACCAGGTGCTAGAGAAACAAGTATGCAAGGGGGATCCCTGCCCTCTAGGAGCTTAATTTCCACATGGGTGGCAAACAAGTAAACAATACACAAAGCATGATCTGTGCAGTAAGAGAATCCACAGGAAATAGGAGCGCCGTAAGACCTGTTCTAGTTCTGCCACTAGCTGTGTGACCTTGGACATGTTACTTAACCTCTCTGGGCCTCATGGATAGTGAGAGTAGGGTGGATCATTTCTAAGCCCTGAAATCCCTGACATCTAAATTCTCAAAACCCTATTAGGTAGGCGGGGCAGGCATGATTTCTTTATGGGGGTGAAGCCCAGGGTCAGAGAGGTTCAGCACAGCAGCCTGAGCTTGTGGGGAAGAGCTAGCGCCCCGACTAGACCAGGGCAGGTCTTTGGAGCCAGGCCTAGTGCACGTCCACTCCCGGCTGCCTTAGCAGAGGTGGGGGCTCGGATGGGTGTGGCAGAAGGCTTCCTGGATGCCCCCTTTCAATCTCATCCTTGCTCCCAGCGTGGAGCTGGCTACAGACAGAGCAAAGAGGCAGCTATGTCCTTGGCCTCCACCCCTCCTGCTGTAAGCACTCAGCAGGCAGTGGGCACTTCTGGCAACCAGGTCACAGCAGTGACATTAGCACGATATCCCGGGCATCCCAGGAACCTTCAGCAGCCAGCCCCATTCGCTGATGGAAACCCTCCCCGGCCTGGGTCCCACTCACAGCCGCCTCCCCATCAGCTGGGCTGCGGGTATAATGCAAAGGCCACTGGAGACTGAGCAGCTCTCCCTCACCGCCCCTGTACTTCCGGTCACTCCCACCCGGCCCACCCAGTATGTGCATGAGCTCATTCGGCTGAAGCAGAACAGATTCAAGAGTTCATCTTTGCTGTGCCTCTAAAAATCATGCCATGCCCACCAGAGCCAAAATCACAAGTCTTCTGAGGCCGGCAGCCACCGCTCTCTCCCACCGTGGCAAACGGTTAATGACGCTGCGTACAGTCCTATTGTCACGTACAACGATCTTTGTGTGTCATGTGTGCCCAAGAGGCCAACAACACAGTCCTGCTCCCCAAGGGTTTATAATCAGATGACAGGAGTGGTCAGGTGACGCAAAGAGAGTCGCAGGTGACAGATGGGCCATGTGAAAGGCTCAGTGTTAAGTGCTGGAGGTGCTGGGGAAAGGGCGTGGTCACAGGGCTGTGCTGTCCTGAAGGCATCGCAGGGAGGCTGGAGCTGGGCCCTGAACAAAGAGAAAGAAGTCGTCACTAGCAATGCCTACTCGGGGGTAATTTACAGTGTGCAGAAAAAGAATCGCCTGTGAGCACGCAGGCAGACGTCCTTCCCCGGGTAGCCCCTTCCCCGTCACAGGCGCACACACCCCCCCTCCCGTCCCTCTTCAGAGCTGGCTGGCTGGCTTGGGGGAGGAGGGGGGGACACACCTGTGCCACATAAGTATCTCCCCCAGGGCCCTGTGGGGATGGGTCTGGGTTCAAACCCTGCCTCCACCACCTCCAAGCTGTGTAACATAGAGTAAGTCGCTTAACCTCTCTGAGCCTGTTTCCTCATCGATAAGGACAGGGATGGTGCCCACCTTGCAGGATTGTGGATTAGCTAAGCAAACACTAACTCACTAGCACAGCACCAGATACTACCACCCAATGTGTCCTCCCTTAAAGAGTCCTCCCTGTCACCCTCCATCTTCCCAAAGGACGTCTGCGTGCTTCAGTCTTTGTCAGGCAGCCTGTGGGCTCCAAGAGTTGCAGGGGAGCAGGGCTGGGCTTGGGGTTCAAATGTGCCCTGGGAGGGAGCCGTAGCCGGCTCCGAGCTCAGTGTGCTCGGTGCTGCCCCCCTGTGGCCGCCAGGAGCACTGCACCGGGCTCCGCCGCCCAGCAAACCCTGGGGACTGGGGCCCACGCAGGGGGGAGAGGGCACGTGGCTGGTTTATAAGCTTCGGCAGGATTTTCTACATTTCTGAGGATTGGCGCGCCAGTAGTTTTGTTTCGTTTCTGTGTTGTGTTTCCTTTCGTCTGTAGGAACTAAGATAGAAAAACTCTTAGGACATGGGTGAGTCATGAGTTCCTTTTACTAAACAGATTAGACTGGTGTGGTCCCAGGACGAACCCAAGGTTAGGAAAGCGGAAGTCGCCAGTGTGCCTGAAAGCTTCAGGCAGCAGGTTGGATGGTTGGATGAAAAATAAGATCCAGGTGGTGTGGGTTCGGGGTCCCTGTCACACTGCTTCCTCCCCGGCCCACCTGTTGCTGGTTTCTCCTGCCGGAAGCCCCAGGGCAGGACAAGAGCTCAGCTCACTGTTCCTCCTGCCCTGGGACCCTGCCAGGGTACAGCTTTGTCCCCCGTGGAGCATTACGTGCCTCAGGGCACTTCTGTGAGAATTGAATGTAAAGCAGGGCACTAGGCTTTGGAGCCTTGCTGTCTTTGAGGGGAGGACCCTGTGCGAGCCTGAGAACAGGTATGAGTGAGAGGAGCCCTC